TCATTTAGTACATTATGGTCCATTTAGAGTCACACAGACCATAAAGCAGGGGATGCTTTAGGGCGGGGCTACACAGTGATTGACAGGTCTCTACCAAAGACGTATACGGCGTCTCTACGTCACTCCTCAGTCCAGATATGGACACTTCCTGTTCACTGGTTGTAAAAAAACCAAGATGGCGACGGTCAAATTGCCAAACTGGAGGCTTCAAGACGTCCACAAACCGATGAGAGACGTCCCCATGAAGACATCCTCTTCTTTACAGTCATTGGTTCAGAACAGTGAGCTGAGTTTGTTTCTGTCAGGAACCCGGAGAGACGGTGCTGCACCTGGCGGTCCGTATGGTCGACAGAAACTCCCTCCACATCGTGGACTTCCTCGCCCAAAACAGGTGACATCATCATTGTCATGATGAATTTTGCAGAAATAAATGCTTGAAAAGAGTCCAAGGTGGTATACACACATGTATAGTAACACCGAGGCGTGTTTCAGTGGAAACCTGGACAAGCAGACAGCCAGAGGAAGCACAGCGCTGCATTACTGCTGTCTGACGGACAAAAGCGAGTGTCTGAAGCTGCTGCTGAGAGGAAAAGCTTCAGTCTCCATCAGTAAGAACACGAACACTCGGAGGGACACGGCCTCGCTCGCCCGATTCTAATCGTCTTCTTGGATTTTATCTCCACAGCAAACGAAGCGGGAGAGACGCCGCTGGACATCGCCAAGCGCCTCCGACACCCTCTGTGTGAAGAACAGGTGAGACTCTGCATCTGAACTGAGTTAAGCTAAAGCTAAAGCTAAGCTAAAGTAAACTTGGTAACACTGAACCTGATCTGAATAAATGACAAAGAACTGAAACTGAGTCGGGGTTTCACAATAAAATGTCATTAAACAAAAAAGAACTTTAACAGTTAAGACAATTCAAAGAAAGCTAAGCAACCGTAAATAAAGCTAAACTTTTCTATGCTAAGCTAATTCCAAAAAACTGAAACTCGGTGATCGTTCAATATGTTTTTAAATGTATATATAATATAAATATACTAAAGTTATTGAAACAGAAAGACAAAAGAACTAAAGTTCAGAAAGTGAAAGTTCTGTTAACCGTCACACATCATGTTACTCCTCTTAACGTTTTATTCATGTGTTTTATGCTGACATTGTAGAATTAATACACTTTATTTACTACTTTTTGAGCTCCGAGGTTCATTTTTCACCTTCAGGAACCGTATTTGTGACTAAATAATCTCCACGCGTACGATGCGGCTGTAAAGATGAAGATTGATTTCAGTTCATTCTGTTCCTCTGGGGTTGAACACGGCCGTGTGTCGCTGCCTTTCAGCTGACTCAGGCTCAGACGGGGAAGTTTAACGTCCACGTCCACGTCGAGTACGAGTGGCGTCTCCAGAACGACGACATGGACGAGAGCGAGGACGAGATGGAGGACAAGGTCGGCCGGCTTCACGTTATTTTTAGTCGTTTTGTGTCATTTCTCAACGTTTTCTGTCTCTTTCAGTCACTTTGCTCCTCCTTGTGGTTATTTTGTGGATGATTTTGTCTCTTTGCAGTCGTTTTGTGTCTATTTTTAGTGATTTTAAATTTCTAGATGTTGTTTTTGTGTCTCTTTGTGGTTGTTTAAACGTCTATTTTCGGTAGCTTTGCAGCCCTTTGTGGTCATATTGTGGGCTTTGTGTGTCTCTTTGTCATCGTTTTGTGTGTTTGTTTTATTTTGTAAGTCGGCCCCCTGATCGTCCCTCAGTCTAAAGATCATCTACCTTTATGAATTAAATCATCGTCAGATATTTAAATAATGTGTGAGTTTCATGTTCTGATGAGAGCGAGGACGAGACGGAGGACGAGGTCGGCCGGCTTCACGTTGAGCAGCTTGTAGACATGAGGGGCGGTGAAGACGAGTAACAGTGTGTTTGTTTTTTTTAACTGCAGCCAATCCCCAACCGGCGTGAGGAGCGTCCGGTCAGCTGCTTCGTGCCGGGCAGCGGCCCCATGCAGCCCAACCTGGCGGCGTTGGCCCGGGATGCCGCCTGCCTGGCGAGGGACAAACAGAGGCCTCAGGTGCCGAGCGTGATGATCAGCAACGAGACCTACGGCACCATGATGGACCTCAACCTCCCGCCACCGGGAGCGACGCCGCCGCTGCCCCCCAGAGGACCCACCAGAGGTCAGACAGGGACGCTACGGCCACGACCGCTTAAAGTTCACTTTACTTCACAAAGAGAGAAAACGTTATGAAGGAGCAATAAATATCCTGACGTCTTCAGGCTCCTCCCACAGGTCAAAGGTCAACAGCTCTTTTAAAGAGCCACCGGGGGGGGGGGGGCAAGCATCAGGCTCTGTCTACACGTATACACAACATCTTTACGTCTGTCCTCGACCTTTGTTTTACGAAATATCTCCGTCCACATTAGAACACAATCAGGAGACGACCTCAAAGCTCCATGTGTTAAAGCTGCATTCTCTCTAATGTCCACCAGGGGGCGACTCCTCTGGTTGTATAGAAGTCTATGAGAAAATGACTCTACTTCTCTCTTGATTTATTACTCTTTTTTTCAAAGATTTATTATCTTATTTTTGCCCGTCGCCATCTTGTTTTTTTTCACAACCAGTGAAGTGACCATATCTGGACTGAGGAGTGACGTAGAGACGCCGTACACGTCTCTGGTAGAGACCTGTCAATCACCGTGTAGCCCCGCCCTAAAGCATCCCCTGCTTTATGGTCTGTTTGACTCTAAATGGACCATAATGTACTAAATGAA